ATTGTTTGCAAACCTAAAAACTCTCTATAATGTAGGAAATATTCTGCAGCTCATCTCTGCTTTCAGATCAATTAGACCAAGCCTTGCTGAAACTTGGATTACTAGCGTCATGTTTGCATGTTGCTACAGAAATTCTGCAGAGTTCGCTGTATTACAAGCCTTGCACACAAGTGATCGTCATGGATAAGATGAAAAAAATTCCAAATGTTTCATCTGTTGACCTTTAACAGTAGTCTAAGCGTATTGAAAATAAAGATAAAGAAGTATTTTTCAGAAAATGCCGTAACTGATGAGTGATTCTTTTCATTGTAAAACAAAATTAATTTTTATTAATATTTAATTTATATACGGTGAGTCCTGAGGCTGTGCGGGACGGCTGTGCGGGACGGCTGTGCGGGACGGCTGTGCGGGACGGCCTGTTGGCTTTGTGGCGGGACGGCTGTGCGGGGCGCGGGCTGTTGCGGCGGGGGCGGCTTGGGCGAGGCGGCTGGGGCGGCGGCGGCTGTGCGGGCGCTGTGCGGGGCGGCTGTACGCGGGCGGCGTGCGTGGCGGCTGTGCGTGGCGGCTGAGGCGAGGCGGCTGGGCGGGGCGGCTGGGCGGGGCGGGCGCTGTGCGGGGGGCGCTTGTGGGGGCGCGTGTGCGGCGGCGGCTGTGCGGCGGGGCGGCTGTGGCGGGGCGGCTTGCGGGCGGCTGGGTGTTGGGCGGCTGGGCGGGCGGCTGGCGGGGCAGCTGTGCGGGGCGGCGGGCGGGGGCGGCTGTGCGGGGCGGCTGTGCGGGACGGCTGGCGCGGGCGGCTGGGCGGGGCGGTGGGCGGGGCGGCTGTGGCGGGGCGCGCTGTGCGGGGCCGCTGGGCGGCGACGGCTTGCGGGGCGGGGGCTGTGCGGGGCGGGCTGCTGCGGGGGCTGTGGCGGGGCGGTGTGGCGGGGCGGCTGGCGGGGCGGCATGCGGCGGGGGGGCTGGGCGGGCGGCTGTGCGGGGCGGTCTGGGCGAGGCGGTCGGGCGAAGGCGGCTTGGCGGCGGCGGCTGCTGCGAGCGCGGTTGGGGCGAGGCGGCTGGCGGGAGGGACGGCTGGTGCGGCGACGGCTGTGGCGGGGTGGGTGGGGCGGGACGGCTGGGCGTCGGCGTCTTGTGCGGGCGGCTGGGCGGGCGGCTGTGCGGGGGCGGCTGGGCGGGGCGGCTGGGCGGGGCGGCGTGGCGGGGCGAGCTGGGCGGGCGCGGCTGGGCGGGGGCGGCTGCGGGGTGGGGCGGCTGGGCGGGGCGACGAGGCTTGGCGGGCGCCGCGGTCATTGCGCGCCGCTAAGGCGGGCACGCGCCAACACACGCCCGATTGGCTCGCAGCCGGCCCGCCAGCCACCCGCCCCGCCGCCGCTGCGCGTTATTTTCCCCCCACGGGGCCCCGGCGCCCCCGCGCTCAAGGATGGGCGCGGCGCCCCCGCGGGACATTCGCGCCTGCCAAACACGCCCCCCCCCCGAACAGACTGGCAGTATACTACTGCAATTAGTCGGTCGACTGGGTGAATCTGTCTGTTACAAAAAGAAAACACTGCTAACACAGTAGTGACCAAACCTCACTACCCGCGATTATGCGCTTTACTGGACGTTTTTCCTTATTAGACCTGCAGACCAATTTCTGCGCTGCGAGCGTAATCCTGGGAATTTACGCATCACAAAGGAGTCCTCCTAAAAATGTGCAGAAGTGGGGTAAAACCGAATGATCTTGTAAAAGAAAGCAGAAATTTTTTCAATTTTTCGAACACGCACAACAACATGCAATATACTTGAAAAGGGCATTTTCCCCAGGCTTGCGGCTTCTAGCAGATTGTATAGTCGTAGAACAGATCTTGGTCAAATTTTTCAGCACACATTATTTCTAGAAGCTTAGCAAAATTCGTCCCTACAGGAAGTACCGCGTGCTCATTCGGATCCTCTGGTACTATAACAAAGAAGTGAGGCGTCTGAGGAGACAGGCAGGTTAGGAAAAAGCGTATAGATAAACGTAATTAAATAAGGATCAGAAAAATAATTTTCTACTAGCATTAATCCAAAGACCTATTAGCACTTTAAGTTACATACCAGAAATTACTAAAATCAATTCTAAGCGACCGATTGCCTGTTGGCAAAATTTATTCAGTATTTCGACATTAAAGAAAGCGGAACAAAGAAGTATATTACCAGCGATTGCGGAGCAGATTGTTCGTTAATACAGGATGACAGTGAAAAGGCGGCTTGTTTAAACAGACATTATTCATCTGTTTTCAAGCAAAGGATCAAATGCTTAGTAAGTGAAAAACACCCGTAATAAGAAAACCTTTCGAATCGATGGAGGAATTATTAGAAAACGAATTGCAAAAATTAGGAGAAATAAATCAGTTACGGTCCTGATGGAATACCAGGAGAAATACTAAAACTGGGAGGGAACCATGCATTCAGACCTTGCGACGCTGAGAGCGCTGCAACTTTGTAAATTGCGTTATGTCTAAAAAAAAGTAGTCCAAATGCCTGATCCCTAGCATATACTACATTTGTTCGTCAAAATTTTAGATACGGAGCGGCATGCTGGGATCCGTACAGAAAAGGGGCAATCGAAGCGTTAGAAAAATTCAAAAAACGGGGCCTCAAAGTTTGTAAATTGCCGGGTGCGTTGGTGCGAACGGAGAAGAAGGGAGCCTACTCAAGAGAAGGGAACGACGCGGGTTCTATGGCAGTAATGATAAGACATACAGAGGGGAACACAGGCATAGGCAGATATCGGTAAAGATACAGAAATTCAGATTATAAAGCAAAGGAGACCTCCTTGGAAAATACGATGCTTAAGAAAGCAAACGAACTGATGCTGGCAGTTCTCTCTCTTTGTGAATCGGCCACAATAGTAGATTGGAATAAACTTAGCTGCAGAACACTAGAGGCTCTTCCTTCTAATGTAGACCAATTTAAAAATATACTCATTCCATCAAGATCTCTTGAATAATACTGACTGGAGACATTTTATCTTTATTGCTTTATTATTATTATTTATTATTATTATTTTATTATTACTATTATTATTCACTATTATTATTATTACTATTACTTTTATTATTATTGTTATTGTTAATATTATTATTGCCTTTTATTATTAATATTACTATTACTTTTATTATTCTTTTTGTCATAATTATTATCGTCATGGCCCTTATAAAGTGGTGATGTGGAATGCAGTGTAGGGGGGGAAGGGAGTGTAGTGTAGTGAAGGGGAGTGCAGTGAAGTGTAGTGTAGTGTAGTGTAGTGTAGTGAAGTGTTGTGTAAACTAGAAGTGAATTTAGAGTAGCTAGAAATAAATTGGGACTATTACATCGACCCCTAATTGTAATAGTAAACCTAATTGTAAATGTTAAAATTGTTTTGTAATTCTAATTCTAATTTTTATCATGTTTGCCACCGAGCATTAGCTCAAAGCGAACTTTAATAAATCTATCTATCTATCTATCTATCTAATGCTGAACACTGCGTTAAACCATTTTTACCGAAGTCGAAAAATTTCTCCACTTTAAAAGTCACATGAATCGTACCCGACGATGGATCGTAATAAGCATGCGCTTGCTCCCATTCCTAGTGTAGATTGCGAACCGCTGTCGCCACCGAATCGTTGGCGTAGCCTCTGCAATTGACTTGTGACATGTGCGCATCGCTTTCGTACACCCTGTCCGAGTTACAACATTCAGCACCATACGTGTCGTAGACGGATGAAGAAAAAAATCTTATTTCAAAGTAGAGATCAACTGATTCTAAAGAACCGAACCAAGCTTCCTTTCACGCTCACCTCGTCAGCACTGTACTCCAATGCTCCGTCACTGGTTACCAAGTTGCTTGACTTGCTTGCCTTCACCGCTAAATGTAAGCATTGGATGTTAGGTTCCCGCAAATAACAAAAAATTGTTGTCCGTCAATTATCCTCTTCCGACCATGCTAGCGGGGGATCGTTCCACGCATACGCTGATACTCTGTCTCATCACATCGCCGTCAAGGTTCTCGTTGCAATCCTCAGCTTCAGACCTTACCAGCACTCACGCAATTGGTCGGTTCCCTGAGTGCCTTCTCTGACGAAGCTTTGCTCGTTTCACCACACAAAGCTATTAGCGTTGTCATCAATTTTCATCAAAATACCTCTCTTCATTTACGTGCAAGATGTTTTGAGAACGGCTTCGTGGTCAACAAGTCGCATCAATATTCTAGTGATATGCATGCCAATGAATTACATGGGTGAAAGTTCGATTAGGTTGAGGAACATGTTGACCCAGTTATCGTCGCTGTCTCCATTGCCTCCATCGTTGCTCTTACGTAACACTAGATAATTTTCATCGTCCTCCCCAGCACCTGTTCCATATCCATCACATCTCAACGTGTCTTACCAGCTGAGGTATCTCAGGGCATGAACCGATGTCACTGCAGTTCCTCCGGTTAGGAAGTGTTCGAGTCCCCACGGTGGCAGGGTTTTCCACTCTAGCTCTACATCAAGGCTAGAGTCAGCCTCAGCCGCTGCAGGAGGGGTCTAGAGATCGGCTGCTCCGATTTGAAGTTCTCCATAGTTTCTCCAATCAATACCAGGCGGATGCCGGAACAGAACCCTAACAAACGAGCCACGGACCGCGCGCAATCTTTTCTTCCCCTTCCTTGTCATCCCTTTTTACACACATCTACACTTATATGTAATATACTACTATACATGTTGGAAGATCAGCCGAGAGCTTAGAAGTTGTCGTGGCTGGGTCAGTGCCTCGCTAATGGACGATACCTGGATGGGGAAAACCCTACATACCAGTTGTGCTGTCGGCACTGGATCTCACTATCAGAAAGGAAAAGAACGTCGTCCCCTACCGTGATAAACTATGTAAACCACATACGGGATAATGACCATAGCAGTTACCGCGCTCGGAGCAACGCAAAAGCAAAGTATAAACTACACTCCCCAAAGTGTCTTTGTAAAAAGCATCACCACTCCCCTCTATCCGTAAGTCCCCAAATGACTTGCAGTGCCCAAAACCGCGCCGCGCGCAGTTCTAGCTGTTGCCCCTGCCACGTGGTGCGGCGAGCCGCCAGCGACGAAGGGGCCACACTCCAGGGCAATTAGCACGCTCCTGCGGCGCAGCCACTCACCTCCGCCCTCCCCCTCCCCCTCGCCCCGACGCTGAAAACAATGGCCCGCGCCCCCGGTCGGGATGCACATCTTCGGCGCGACAAAGGGTTGGTGGCTTTACTCGTTTGCATTCCATTTCCCTCTTCTTGCCACCTTCGTTCATTTATAGTCCATTCATTGACGGCTTGATTGCTTCCATCAATTGGTTTTCTCCATTTGAGCGCGTCGGCGTTCCTGTTCGGCGGTCGACAGTATTGTTTTGTTTTCTCGCGACCGCGTGCGGGTACATTCACTCGCTCATTTTTTCATTCCTCCATTCGACTGTTTACTCAATCAATCGTTCTCGTATGTTATTCACTTGTCAGTAAATTCTGATTTCCACGTTTACCCTTCGCACATATTTATTAATTGACTGAACAAACGTCTCATTTAATTTCTCTCTTCTTTACTTAACGTGTCCTAACTTACGAAAATGTTAACGCTGATTTCTAATAAAACTTTATTTCTTTAATTATAGACTTTTTAAACATGTCTATGATTCATATTATAAAATTATTTATTTGCAAGTGATCTTACAAGATATTCTATGTTAAATCTTTTTATTTCTTAAAGTCATGACACTATTCACATATTTCTCATCAGTTAATTGATAATATTTAATAATTATGGTATGTAAATGGTTTATTTCATAACGACAACAATATATATATATATATCGACTTGTGTGTATAACATACCCTTTCTAAATTAAGAAATTCATATAATGCATATAAAATATAACTTCTTATATTTTTGTACAAAATCAGCTATTGCACAACAATTGAAAATCACAAAGCGGACGTTTGCGCTACAAAAATAATTGCAGCTGGAATTTCTTCAAATAAGTGCATATCGTCTTCCATTGGTTTCATACTTTTTTGTGAGCGCAGAATTTGTTTCAAATGTTTTTCTGAACTTTACCCTAACTCATGACTTTATATGACGTACCACATCCTTATTCTTCATAATGTTTACATATCGTTTGCTTTTTATTATCAATATAGTCCTATATTATTCTAGGCATATTTATGAAGATATAGAATGAAAACCGTTTGTCTTTTATAAAAATTCCCATGATTGCTTGATCTTTCACGTTCTTATATTTTGTATTGAAATTTACGTTTTTGCAGTTGATAGATACTAGCAAAATAAAATACGATTAGTCTGCATAGCTTTCTTTCTAGTGCCTCATTAAATGTGAATAAATGTCCTGTTTCAGGTGGCTTGGCTGAGAGTGGACACGCAGACTATTCTCACCATCGCCTCCCACATCATCACCAAGAACCACCGCATCGGCGTCTCCCACAGCGACCACCGCACGTGGTACCTCCACATAAAGGAAGTTCGGGAATCAGACCGTGGCTGGTACATGTGCCAGATCAACACAGACCCCATGAAGAGCCAATTAGGCTTTTTAGAAGTTGTTGGTGAGTATGTAATATAGTTGTTTACTTTCTTTTAACCAGAAAAAGTGGGTTTTAAGGGCAAAAATTTCCATCGTACGCCTTTACTTTGAGAAGTAAAGCCGGCTGCCCCATGTTGTAGATTTTCTGCTTTTATAACATTCTCATGCCTAAATGAAGTCTCTGAACAAAATTCAAACCCCCTTCCTCAGCGCCCGAGTAAATAATACCTCCTTTTTCTGCTAGACCGTGAAAGAAGCGTGCTGGAATTTTTTACGACAGGCGGAAGAGCAGGCCTCATGACCTTAATCTCGACTCGGAAATTAAGGCTTCATTGAATTCAATTGAAAATTAAAATAAATATAATTAAAAAATTACTAATTTTCCCTTTCATTATAAGTGCAATAAACAAGAGTAGAAGCTACATAAGTTTCCTTATTTTAAGGTCATCATTTTTACATCAAGACAAGCAAAACTCAAATGTATTCAATTTCATTTTCTTATTTTGGAAATGGGCATTACAAATACTACCTTAAAACAAGTGAACGGAAGGTGTGGACCGAAAGCATTTACTAATTCATTGAAAAATACGTATGAAATACTTTTCTCGAACTATGAAGACTCACTTATGCTCAAACATTAGTTGCTTGAATTTACAGATATCAGATTCTTGAATTATAAATACTTGTAATCAATTACCTCGAAAATTGTAATACTCGTATTACAAAAAAATATTCTTGAGACATTGTGGTCGTATATGATCAGTTAACTATACATTTTGTCATACTGTGTATTTTATGGTTATTTTTCCCTATTACCTTTACGTGTTACGCCAAGTAATATTTAGGAGGTACGAATATCCTTCATTTAAATACGTGTACAATATTTAAATATTTGGCTTTTGTATTGTGTCGATATAAAGACATACATTTGTCACGATGCCGAATATTTCCACCTGTCGAGGTTGGTGATTCCAAATTCGCAGTATTACGGAAAATGGGGGGAGGAAATAATAAAATTCTACATTTCAAAGAATTGAAGCTTTCAAAGTTTATGTATGTATATGTGTGTATATATATATATATATATATATATATATATATATATATATATATATAGAGAGAGAGAGAGAGAGAGAGAGAGAGAGAGAGAGAGAGAGAGAGAGAGAGAGAGAGAGAGCAGTATTCACATTTCTGCACAATCTGTACGTTTCCTGATCACAGTACATTGGCTCACATCACTCTTAATTGAGGGAGTTTTCTCCTTGAGTGGTTATAAAGACAGCCGCTCATCCCGCCCCTACAAAGAGAACCACATCCCTTTGAAACTCACTCGCGCAAATTTCGAGTGTCTATCCGGGCGATTCGGCGGTCTACCGGAACGCATAACCCACGCACGTGTGTCCATGCAAACATTCCCGCTTCCTTTGCTCATCAATGCCTTGAGTGGGAGGCGAAGTCCTCGGCTTTGAGGGGCCCGGGCCAGCGCAGGGGGCGGGCGGGCGGCCGATGAAAAGCGCGCCCTCGGGAGAGAACGTCGGTACACAAGCTTCATGGTCGCAGAGAAGCGGCGAGCAAATGGGCAGACGGGGCCATTGGGGGGTGGACGTCGGTGGGGGGTTCAAAGAAAATGATTGTGAAGAAGATATGAGGAATAATTAATAAATCCTGTAAACGAGTGAAAAGAATGTCATGCGTATATCCAGCATTTAAATATATGAGTTTATACACTGGGTGTTTTATTTGAATGCTAATAGCACTTTTTTGAATATAACACTAATTAGTAATCAGGCAATACGTGGCGGAAGTACTTCGTGTCATTTCCACGGATTTGATAGTGGTAGGTTCTGAGCTGAAAATTAATGTTGAAGAAAAACTACAAGTCAGAGAAACTTCGAGGAAGCTGTAAGAATCAAGATAAATAAATTGTATATTAGTATTGTGATCTATTTCAGTCATTTAATTGGATGTTGAGTAATTTAAAAAGACGTCGGCATTGAAAAGAAAACTTTAAAAATTGAAGAGAACAGCGTTCGTTGAGCTTCCGACTAGAACAGCAGAAACGCTACTAAGCACGAGGGCCGTCGGCAAAGCGAGGAACGGAGCGACCTGAGTGCTTGTGCGTGAGCGAAGGAGCGGGCCAGGAGCGCTGGAATAACCTCCAATCAAAGCAACAAACGAGGGAATGAGCGGGTGAGAGCGCAACTTGCAAGATAGTGCAAGAGCACGCAATGAACGAGCGAACATCTGTAGAACGGACACCATATTGGTAGACCGCCAAAACGAGCGGGACGCGAGTTCCACAAGAAATCCGTGGAAATGACACGAAGTACTTCCGCCACGTATTGCCTGATTAATAAGTAGTGTTATATTCAAATATGTGCTATTAGCATTCAAATAAAACACCCATGACATTACACTTCCCGGTAAGTTGAGCGGGCCTGCACTAGTGACAGCCTGCACAACTGCTGGAGGGACGATTGAAAGCGTGGAAGTCATTCGATTAGCCTTGAAGAAATATTCTGTGTAGGCAGGCTTTGGAGAAGGTGTTTTTTCGAGTGAGGAGATTTGACTCCATGAATAGGTGGTCGCTCAAACGAACGGGAGGATTAGCGATTGAGTGGAAGGGCTAGCAATTCAGCAACTAGCGATTGATTGTAGAGCGGGAGTGTCTTTGGGGGATGCTGCCGCAGGAACGTTTAACATGGCTGTTGGGATTGAGTAAGCAGTGAGCAGGTGGTGAGCAGGAAAAACATGAGGGCAGCGGGCGAGATGTTAGCGGAAGAGGGCTGTTAAAAGGGGGCTTGAGAGGAGGATTGCGCCGGCGGCCTCTTGAGACAAGTTGCACAGCAGAAGAGTGAGCAGGGTGATAAGCACAGTGTGGCAGGCAAGAGCGCTGCGAGCGATTTACAAAGACAACATACATATTGAGCGGGCGGGTGGTTGAGCGAAGTCTTCCTCCCACAAGAACCGATGCATGTGGATTGTTGCCATCGAGAAAACAGAGAACAAATTGTTGAGAAGGAAAGTGTTTAACTAGGCACTGGGCCGGATGTCGCCGCAAAGAGCAAAAGGAGTGGTTGACTCAGAGCGCTGGCGAGTGGCCGAGGCCAGGGGCTGATTATCGCCGCGTGAGGGCGCCGCTCGCTCCGCTGGCACGCGCAGGAGACGGGAGGCTGCGGCCACGGCAGCGACAGTCGGCGATTCCCTGTATGCCGTAAATGGTATATGCACATCTACATTTAGTCACATGGACGGTCACCCATAATCCATCGGAAAGATATATAAAAACTAATTTTATACTTTCAACCAAGCAATTCTATTTAATGTTCTTTTTAGGATTCATGAATTTCTGCTAACAAATCTCAAAATCTTTTTTTGAATTTATTATAAATTTGTCCCATAAACATTTTAAATAGTAAGACAGATACGAGAAAGTTTATTGTTAATCCAAACTTTAAAATCATTGTATGATACAAATACTGCGATGGTTCCGCATTGAATCGGCACAGAGTGCTGTACAGAGACGAGCAATGTGTATTATTGCAAGCATCGACTGCCGCTCGATAGGGTCCATTTGTGCATGACGCCCCCCGGCCGGCAGCGCTTCCCAATTACACCCGCTTTGATTCCGCTCTCCGTGCCTCCCCCGATGCCCTGCCGTGCTGTGCCTGACTCATCTTCCGTGTCACCCTCACGTTTCCTGAACCTCCCTTCCTCCCTTCTCCATTAAAGGTACCTGCAATCGTCGGGTTTCCCTCTTCTCAAACAACCGGAATTCTCCCACCACTTGCCCGTTTTCTGCCATTGCGTGTGGCCCTCCTCTCCGTTTCCACGCTGCAAATTCATCTAGAGCTCTTCTTGCCACACTAAGGCTTTGTTGGTCTCATTAGATCTTAAGAATAGACCGCTCGATTTTGCACTTCTGAAAGCATCGTTTAATGCAATTGGAATTCTTCGTTCCATTACATTTTACTCTTCTCTCAGTCATTCCAGCCACCCTTCTATTACTGCCCACTAATTACTCCTTCGGCTTGTTCGTTCACTCTCGTTCCATATCCATTCTTCTATCCCTCAGTGCTTTCATTTACTCACCACCTTGTTACCCAGACCCGTTATATCCAGTGCTCGTCCACAATCCTATCCGCTCGTAAGCCCCCACGCCCATGGCCCATCGCCCTTGCAAGGCCCTCCATTTCGCTCGTGCGCCCATTCGCGCATCCGCCGCGCCGCTGGGGCCGTCGCGCGACCATCCGGTGGAAAGCGAGCCGGAATAAACAATTGCCGCGTGATTTGCGGGACGGCCGGTGAGCGAGGACCCGATTAACTGCGAGTTATGAGCTGCGTGGAGAGTGAGTAATAATAAGTAATTTTTTGGGGCGGTGGGGGGGGGGGTAATATGTGTGCTGTGCGCCCTATGCTTCATAATGAGGGGCCGCTCGAGTGCATATGGCAGCGCTCCATTACACAGCAGATGCGCTCTGATTATGTGCCCAAATGCCCAATGTGCTTTGAATAACACGAGCAAAAACTGCTCCAGATTTGGCAATCAGAAGATGCGAATGATTAATTAGTTCGTAAATCAAAATAATAAACTAGTTGTCCTATGGAGTGCTACAAACTTTCCCATATTAGTTTTCTATTTCCTTTGGTCTCGGCCAGCTATTCGGTCTTGTCACATACTCTTGCCAGCTGCCATCTATAGCCGCCCACTACATTTTTTGAAATGTTCTGCATTTTTCGATTTCCTAGTAGTAGAACGGAAATATTATTTTAAGCATGTTAAAGAACAGTAAAACGTCGCCCCAAACGGCAATTTTTTTTGAACGCTTTGGGCCCGTCTTTAAGAAAATGGCGTTTAAGCGCTACTCTAAATTCTAAATTTGAATCCTTTCTCACAATCGAAAAGTTGGTGGCTCAAAAATGTGTAGTAATTGCATTTTCATTTATGTGAAATATTGACTGAGTCATTAAATCATGTTAAACAAAACCTTTTGATTACTCCCTTTCAGCTAGTTAATATTT